CTGCTGATAAAAGTGGGTGTGAACGTTGGCGGCGCCATGAATCCTTGAGGAGGACGCAGCATCCGAGGAGGAGCCTCGGGGGCATCCATCGCCCCGCTCATTTCTGCTGCTGCTACTGAGGATAATTCTGTTGCTGTTGCCGTTTTTTCCCCCAATGCGTCGCCGCTGTCGCTGCTGGTGGTGGCGGCGGCGGCACCGCGGCTAGTCTCTGGAAGAGCACTTCGATGGGCAACGGCGGATTGTGGCATGGGACCATCAAGGCCCAAGTCACTCAAAGAAAATTGGTGGACAACCGTGAAAACATTCCATTCCAGCCTGTCTCGAAGCTCCTCATCGGTAAGCAATGCAGCCTTACGTCGGGCAATGGCAGCCTTGGCGTACTTCACCTTCTCCTCGCACACCGTGTCAAGAATTTCCCGTGCGGATCGATACCGCTCTAATCGGTCCTCCACCTCATCTGGATCGTGGTGCAAAATCAGCCGGTAAGACTCCACAAGCTTCATAAAGACACTATGACGTACATCTTCACTGTTGAGAAAACGAAATGCCGCGTTATTACGATATCTTGTAAGGATGTCCTTCATAAACCTTTCACCGTGCTTGGCAACATACTGCGCGGTGCAAGTCATGTAGCTCAACGTCAAAGCTGGCATGTTAATTGTGCCATGGTGTAAGTCCAGTGAGTAACGGTTGGGAAAGGGATCCTCCAAATACCGCTGCGCCTCAATCTCCGCCTGACGCAACGCCTCGTCACGTTTCGGATCGTGACGTGCTGCCGTGCCGCCTTCCCGACGCACGATGCCGCCAGCTTTGATGGTTGTTGTTGTTGTGAGTGTAGATGCGGCACCTTGTGTGGTAACGGCGTTGCCGTTGGTGGTTGGGGCCGTTGTTGTCGTTTTGCCTTGCGACGGGTCCTTCTTCTCGTCGGTGGGAATCAACTCGGGGTGGGCACGGTACTCGTTAAGCTTCTGCAGGAAAAATGGGTAAAACACATGCGTCATTTCAAAATAAAGAAACTCCTCTCGTTTTTGACTGGCGAGGACTTTAGCCATCATCTCCTCCGCCTTTCGCTTGTCACGCTTTGCAAGGCTCGCTGCCGACTTCTCAATCTTGGCACGCAGCTCCGGCCCGGGGGCAATGATGCCAGGCGTGGTGTCATCCTCAGTGGCCATTCACGCTACACTGTCACACAAACGCCCTACGAATAACTTTTTCTCATCGTTAAAAATCATCATTACAGATGGTTGCAACAACATTGCGTTCACACAAAGAGCGGGAAAGGGAGAAAAGAAAAAAGAAAAAAAAAAAGAGGTGGGGGAAAAAAAAGGGGGCAGAAGAGTGAATAAATACAAATAAAAGAATACGAACCTCAGCAACTGCCGTGTGTTTAAATGAGGCAACACCACACTGCCCCGTTGCATATTTCAAAAGAGTTCATCTTGATTTGATTTTCAAGAATCATTGTCCCCTCTTTTTTGTTGTTTTTGTTGTTGTTGGTTTTTTTATTTATTTTCTTTTTGTTAGTTTGCTTCTGTGTAATATAAACGTACGTGTCCACTCGTTACGGCATTTCGTGGGATGCAGAGGTAAAATTAACAACGACTGTGTCCAACTGAGGTGAGTTGACGTCCACAAGTACAAGCGCCCCTGTTTGGGAAAAAGGCGGCACACAAATAAGTCGCACCCCGGCGCTGTCTTCTACAGGGGCTTCTTCATTTGTGGTGTCGTCACCCGCAGGGTTAAAGCCCTCAAGTGGCACCCATCGTGTCTGCATTTCCGGTTGATCGCAGCAGACAAAACAGTGCGGAGCGCTTGGAAAGACAAAAGGGTCTAAAATCTTGAATGGGTAACTAAACAACGTGTTGGGTGCCGTCGGACAGGCGCAGCCGCAGCGAAGCAGCATGGACATGGCGTCCAGGCGTGTACGATATCGGGTCTCACGGCTAACGTCATTCAAGTTGCTACCAGAAGAAATAAAAAATATCGTGCCACCCTCTGCCGTTGTTGTTGTTGTTGTCGTCGCCGTTCGTTCAGCAGTAGCAGTAGCAGTGGGTTTTTTACAGGGAAATGCATGGAACTCGTATGGGTTTGTTACAAGCTTCAATGAAGAGCGACGTGCGGCCTCAGGAAGCAGCAGCGGATGAAGCGGCTGCTGCGGCTGAAACGCGTTGGTCACGTCCTGATCCCCCGGCATCACATCGACCTCAATTGTCTCCGTTATGCGTGTCAAGACGGCGTCGAATTCGGTCATAAGCATCGCCGATGTAATTGCGCCCCCCTCTTGCTTCTCGTCACTGAGTCGTGTGTGGTCGGATGGGTCCAATTTCACCTTTTTCTTCAGTCGTAGTTCATCGGTGGGGGCAATACTGTTGCCAGCAATTACCAAATGAGCAATGCGGGATGCCTGTGTGATCATGGCGTCATCGCCAACATGACCGGACAAATAATCCACAAGAAGTTCCACCATGGTACGGCTGCGTGTCACTTCTGCCTCCTGCATCTGCGGGCTCCCCAATCCCAAGCCGCAGACAATCCCCACATAGCAAGGTAAACTTCGGGTTTTGCAGGGTAGCAGTCGCGGGACATAAATCTCCCTTAAATCGGTTAGGGCGTAACTGTGAACAAAAAGGCATCCATTGTCGCGCAATGTCCCGTCAACACCAATCACAAGCCCCGTGCAAAGTAAATCCACAGGAACTTCCTTCAGTAACACTCGGCCACTGCCGTCCTCCATGAAGACCTCGTCTGCCGAGTGGCAGAGTGGGACGTGCTGCTCCCGAGACTCACCACGACCGCCCTGCCACTCAGCATGTCTTCCTCCTCCAATTTCCCCATCCCCGTTTATTGTGGCCACCTGCTCACTTGCAAGAGGAGGTGTTGTATCGCAAAGTGCATCTGCTGCTCCACTCTCCTCATCGTCATCCTCACCAGCATCAATACGGATGAGTTCCTTTTGGTACTCGTCCAGAAAACGTGGAAGCAGGCGCATCTGCTTGTATATCACCCCCACACACAACGCACGTTGGCCCGGCACAAGATCTAAAACGCGAGCAAATGGCGGTGCAGAGCTCCCAGTGGAAAGATGGACTTCAATTTTCGTGCGGATGGCACGCAACGCACGTGGCTGAAGCGCCCTTTCCCTGCATTGATACATGGCCGCGTACTGCTGCGTAAACTGTTGTCGACGGAGGAGGAATCGTTGATGGGTACGCTGCAGTGAAAGGCCGGCACGTCGTCGCGGCACCTCGTCACCCTCATCATTCAACCCTCCCGTCATAACACAATAAACCTTCGCCTGTATGTATATATATATATACACGTACGCAAAGAAGGCCCCTTTGTGTGCAGAACCCAAGAGAAAAAAAAAAAAAAAAAGAAAAGAAACAAAGAAACAAGCAAACAAACAAAAAAAAAACACATATGGCAAGAGGTGACTGGCTGCAGAATAGGAAGGGGGAAAAAGGGGAAGCATGCAAAGGAATGATGGAGAAGCCGGTCATAAAAAGGAAGTGGTACAAAAGTAGAGCTGATAAACAGGAGAAAGAAATATATATTTATATATTTATATTGAAAGAAAAGAAATTACAACCCCACGCATGTCAGATTAGAAGAAAAGAGACATACAAAACAAAGGGGAAGGTAAAAGAAAAAAAAAAAAAAAAAAAGAGTCCCACTGCTGTTCCTGCGCTCTTCTGGTAACTGCACGGATAACAAAAACAAGGCAGCGGTGGGTAATAATTCCTATTGGTAATATCATCCCATCTCACTATTACTCGGTTTTGCTCGCGTGGCACTTTTCTTCTTTTCTTATGGTTTAAAAATTCCGTCTCTGCCTCTCCTCAGTCTTCTTTTTTTTTTTTTTTTCTTGTTCTTTTTCTTGTTTAACTTTATTTTATCCCTTCTTTTTTGTTGTTGTTGTTTTGTTTTGTTTTGTTTTGTTTATTATTATTATTATTATTTTCCTTCTTACCGTTGGGTCAGCGTTTCTTCAAATTCTTCTTCTTCTTCCTCTTTGTTGTTGTTGTTTTTACCGGCATGTTGCTTCTTTCATCTGTGCGAGGCAAAGTACCCTCCGTGTAAACAACACAAACATGTGTATATATTATATGTCTGTATGTCTGTGTGTGTCTGTCTGTGTGTGTGTGGCTTCAAGTAACGAAATGGGTGTAAAATGCCACTACCGAAAAAAGCGAAGAGGAGGGATTAGGGAGAGGGGAGGGGAGAAGATCTAGGCACACACACACACACACAGACATACATCTATATATATATATATATATGTATGTATGCCCCAGGCATGCATCCTCATACCACACATACACAGGCAGACTGGCATACCCACAGCCGCATTGCACACTGACACGATACACACATGCCCAAACAAATTCATTTTAAGTTTTCTTTAAAGGATTCAAATTACTTCTTGTGCCCCTCTTTACTTTTTTGTTTGTTGTTGTTGTTGTTGCTTTTCCTTCTTTGATGGGTTAGGGTAAATGGGTGGAGTTAAAAGGAAGGGGAAGGAGAGAGAGAGAGAGAGAGGGAGT